AAGGTTAATATAGTTAACCATATAATTCAAAATAGCAAATAGGATTTTAAATGTTCTTACATAAATGATAAATATTTAGGATGATACTCTAAATATCTGGAGTTAAGTCAATAATGATGTACAATTATCTGTCAACACAAAAATAAGAAAAGCAAGGAATAGTTGAGAACTAGATATAGAAATATCCTTCACCTGACTCTGAGAAAAGCCAGAGTTAGAAAGGAGAAACTACATGTTGCTGAGAGAGAGAATCAAGCAAGTGATGATAGAAAAGCTAAAAAAAGCATGAAGTAGAAAGGCAATGCAGAGAAAGTACAATGCAATCTGCAGCATCAACCTCAGCTCTCTGGGGAGAGGGGAACTTGACTCTGAGCACAAGGTAGGGGAGGGGGTACTGGTAGCCCCATGATAAACAATGGATGGGCAGAATACAGGGGAAACCTATGAGGGCAAATCAGTAATTATAGTATATCTTATAAATAGAATCAAGTATGAAGGCCAGGTGTGGTGGTGCATGTCTGTAATACCAGCATTTGGGAGGCTGAGGCAGGCAGATCACTGAGTTTGAGGCCAGACAAAGGTCAGCCTGAACTACAAAGTGAAACCCTGTCTCACAAAAAGAGAAAATCAAAGCAAACACAATACAAAAATCAAGCATGAAAAAAAAAAATCACACGATCATCTCAATAGATCCAGAAATATGCTTTGACAAAATACAATGTATTTTTATGACAGAAGACATTAATAAGTTAGGTATAGAGGGATCTTATAACAACATAATAAATGACATATAAAACCAACCCAGACTGAGCATCATATTGAATGGAGAAAAATTGAAAGGAGAGAAATTTCCTTTAAATTCACGAACAAGACAAGGTGTCCATTCTCACCATTTTACTTAATATGGTACTGAAATCTTACCTGCAGCAATTCAGTAAGAAACAAATGGATACACATAGAAAAGGAGAAAGCAAAAATTTCTCTTTATGCAGATGATAAGATTCTCTATTAACAAGACCTTACATATGCTACCAAAATGCTCCTAGAAGTAATAAATTCAGCAACTGGCAAAATACAAAATCAACATAAACAACTCAGTAGCGGTCCTCTATAGCAATACACAAACCTGATGAGAAGGGATGGGCAAAGCAATTTCCTTCAGAATAGCTTTCAAAACACTAAAAGTGAAATTTACTAACGAGATAATCTCTACAGAAAAAATTATAAACACTAAAGAAAGCAATTGAAGACGACACTAGAAGATGAAGTGACTTCCCTTATGTATGGATCGGCATAAGCAACATTGTTAAAATGGTCTGATTACTTAAAATGATCAAGAGATTCAATGAAAAGTCTATCAAAACACTAATGTTATTCTTCACAGAACCAGAAAATATAACCAATAGCCAGATAAATCTTTATCAAAAAGAATAATGCTGGAGGTATAACAATACCTGATTTCAAAAGAGAAGAGGATTAGTAAATAAATCCAAGTAGCTGCAGTCATCTGCCTTGACAAAGGTACCCAAATCACTTCTTGGAGTTAAGCTAGCCTCTTCAACTAACTAGAGTGGGAAAGCTGGATACTCAGACACCAAAGATTGAAACTAGATTTCCAAATATTATCTTGCACAAAAATTAACTCAACATGGATTAAAGATCTAAATGTGATATCAGACATTTTGAAACTGCCAGAAGAAAACATAGGGGAAACACTTTTAAGATACAGGCATAGACAATGACTTCCTGAATAAAGCTCAGGAAATAATAGCAACAATCAACAAATTCAATTGCATCAAATTAAAAGGCTTTTGTTCAGCAAAGGAAATAATCAACAGAGTGAAAAGACAATGTACAGAATGAGGGAAACTGAAAAATTTTACTAGTTTCTCTTCTACAGAGGACTAAAATCAAAAGCGTGTGAAGACCCAAAGAACTTAAAATGAAGAAAATACATCCCAATCAATAATTGGGTAAATGGAAAATAATTATATAAAGAAATGCTTAACATCTTCAACTATCAGGGAAATGCAAATCAAAAATTACACTTAAATGATTATGTAATCCCAGCCAGAAAGACTAGCATCAAAACTACAAAACATAATAAATGCTGATGAGGATACAGGGTAAAAGGAACACTTCTACACTGTTAGTAGGAATGTCAACTAGCACATCCACTGTGAAAATCACCATGGAGATTTCTCAAAAAATTAAAAATAGATCTACCACATGAGCTGGCCATACACCTCCCTCGCATAAACCCACCGTTGTAAAAATCAGCATACTGTTTAGGTATCTGCATTTTCACGTTTACTGTGGCCCAACTCACAATAGCCAAGATACAGAAGCAGTCTAGCCCAGGAGATGGCTCAGTAGAATAAGTGCCTACCTGGCAAGCGCAGGGTCCCAAGTTCAATTCTTGGTACAAAAAAAAAAAAAAAAAAAAAAAAAAAAGGCCACCAGAAGCAGCCCAGGTGCCTGGCAGCTGATGACTTAATAAAATATGGTACACATTCATAAAACGCAATGTGATTCAGGCACAAAGAAGAAAAAAAGCCATCTGCAGTAAATTGCATGGAACTGGAAATCATTGTTCAGCAAAATAAGATGGACTCAGAAAGACAAATGCTGTTTTCTCTCATATGTGTCGTCTAGAGAAAGAAAGATGAAATGAAAGTAGCAGAGGAGCTATTATAGAAGAGAAGGGGCTCCAGGGAGGTAGGGAAGGTGGATACAGGAGGGGACTAGTGGAGTTAGATACAAGCAAATTATGCTATAGTTATGAATGAAAATGGCACAATGAAACACAATTATTCTGTACCTATGCATATAGTAAAAAAGAAAAAACCAAACAATTTTCAGCCTAAATGTTCCAAAATTGTGCCTAATTTTTTATCTCTGAATTCCTAAAGGAGTTTTTCTATACTATTTTTATTGCAAATAATTTATTATACTATGATTATGTACATCTTGTTTTCATCAGCGGGCTACCTTATTTGAAGGCAGGATATATCTCTGATGCATGTGGATATGAGACTTCTGCACTGTACCTAGAACAAATGCATGACTGGTATTTCAATTATTTTGTTTTTATTTTTTTAAATAAAAAAAAATTATTTTAGGGAAGGGTCAATTATTTTGCTTTGGTAAAATTCAGAGGTATATGACCCACCATAAAATCAGAGCCACGATACTGTAGCCAAGAGATGACACATGTTGTGAGATACAATGGAATGAGTATTTATAATGAGAAATCACTGTGAAAGATAATTGTGGTCAACTTGTATAAACCAGCTGAACTGAGTCATCATGCTGCTGGGTGTGGGAGACCCACCTGATGACAACACAGAAAGAGAACTGGAGGGGAACATGGTGTGGGCTGTTGTTACTCCCAGAGAAGCTTGTCATGATATGGATTCAGCTGCTGGTATCACTGGATGAGCTTGAGACTTCACTGTCTCTGAGGATGGCTGTGGGTCTTTTCAGGGAGCTCTGGGCCTTGAGTGTTGCTTCCTGGCTTCAGTGCCGGTCCCTCTTCCTGCTGACACAGATCCTTCATTTGGGTGTCACAGACTTTCTAGCTTCTATCACTGACCTTTGGGCCTTTACAGTGCAGATCGTTTTTTTTTTTTTTTTGTATTTTAGAGAAAGGTCTACAGGGTGTTGAGGGTCTCACTACTAGATCTGACTCGTAGTGATCCACCTGGTTACAGCCTCCCAAGAACTGGGATTACAGATGTGCGCCACCATGCTGTCTTAACTGCTGTCTCAGCATGCACCTGGGGTGGGGCTGGAACAGCCACAGTGCAGATCTTTGATACAGACTTGCATGAGACATTGTTGTGGGCTCCAGGTCTTCAGTTGGACTCATGCAGGACACTGCTGTGGAATCCAGGCCCTCAGCTGGATTCTCTGAGTTTCTAGTGAGTGGGCACTCTTGCATTTAACTCTTGGGCACTCTCCTGCACGCTTGCATTTAACTCTTGGTATGAATATTACAAAACATTCCTATAAATTATGTGTCCCGTATTAAATTCTTTCCCTTGCGCACCCTGACTGTCTTGGTTGGGTTACTCCGCTCCCAGGTCAGGAAGCCAATGAAACAGTCATGTCTAAGTATTTCTCCCCAAGAACACAAAATAACTTCACAAAATTTAGGGCAATGATTAGAGTTTATTTTAAATCCAAGAAAAGTTTCATGGTTGCCAGAAGTTATGAAAAGTTCATGATTTATAAATCTGAAACAGGAGCCCTAACCTAATTATGTTTGTCCTTTTATGAGATACATTTAACACTAGGTAAAATCACCAACTCATTGGAATAGTATTACATTTTTTATAAAGTGTACCTTGACTTACGAGTTTCCTCTGAGCCTTATTAGAAACTGAAAATCTTTAATTATTCTTTGTTGGTGAAATATTCTTTCTGCTTTCCCACTTCCCCAAACCTGCCTGCTCCTTCTCCTGCCCTTTTTTTTTTAAGCATGGAAATGGATGCACACAGGAGCCAAAGGTCCTACTTTCAGAAGATCTTGAATTCTATTATTTGTAACATTGGAAACTAACTTAAAAATTCAGGGCCAGGGAGATAGCTCAGTGGCATAAGGGCCTGTCTGTCAAGTGTAAGGTCCTAAATTCAATCCTTGGTACCAAAGGGGGGAAAATTCATTTCAGAGTCAGAAATTACTTTGCAAGCAGAGAATTTCATTCCACTAGAATATATCTTATATGGCTACTGAATATTAACAAATTTTTAGTTTGAAAAGTATTTTTAAGAGAATTTGTCCGGACATGGAGATAGTTCCTTCATTACCATAGGTGAAAAATCTACCTATATTTTGTAAACATAAAAAATATATTGCAGTTTAATTCATACTACTACACGAATAAGATTCAAAAAACTAGAAAACAGAAGTAAACTTGACACAGAAGAGAAAGAAAAATAGAAGAGGAATAAAGGATATAATTAGAAAGTAAAATAAGAACAGTAAAGTCAGTGTATCTTGAAGGACTATATATTTTATTTCTGTCAGTTATAGTATCACATTTTCTAAGACTACCATGTTCTGTTTTCTTTTTAATCACCACTGGACTCTGATATAATTTTACAGAATATATTATGGACATTTATGAGTATTATGTTGTACTATGTTGATCAAAGTTTAAAATTCACTAACAAGACACACTGTATATTACCCCTTTAATTTACATATTTTACGGCATAGAGTTATAATCTTACACTGTCACACCTCAGTGAGGTTTTCCTTTTCATAAAAAGCCAGTGCTTATGTAAACAGTAACTTCTGAGATATGAAATTTGATAGTTCCTAAATATCACCTCAAATATATATAAACTGAAAGATTATCCTACACGCTTGCTCATGTTATATGTCAAAAACCCCAGAAAGACAATATTAAGAGGTGACATTTGTTAAAAGGCCACTACGGCTAACTGCATTGCGGGAGTCAGTACTGCAGTCGCTATCAATTTCCTGGATGTTCTGAGGTTAGAAGTTGATTTGGTCAAGGCAAACGCCAAGTCATTCAACTTTGTTTAGATGACTGAATAGCCACACTTAGCCACTTCTTCCAAATAGACAGTCCCGGTCAGGTTACTCCAATGCCAGGTCAGCAAAGGCATCAGAGACCTCTGCAGTGACCTGAGTGGAAGTGCTTGCTTCTGTGACATTGAGATAAATGTCATACTGCTGGTCCAGGCCAAGGTAGCAGTCACTCATGAGATACAGTGTGAAGATATACCTAAAACGTGAAAACATAAAAAAGATGACAAACATTTTCAAATCACAGTAAAATTTAATTCTTTTGGAAATTTAGTAAGGTTCTGCTTACCTTCCAGGTACTTCAGGGGTATAAAAGGAAAGGGAAACGTCATGATGATTTCGAACATATCCTACTCGTTTTAAAGCAATGAGCTCTCTCTTATCTACTTCTCCTAATATCAAAAACCATCCTTCATCTTTTGATTTGGGAAACCGAGGGGTAACTGCACAGCTTTCTTGCTTTCCCTATAATCAGAAAAAGACAGAACATTAGCACTGGCTACACTTTCTACACTGCTTGGTGGTGGTGAAAAAGCCATGTTATCTTACTAGAAGGTTAAATATTACATACTTCATGTCTGTTTTGTATGTTTAAATTTGTGTCTGTACACTCTTAATTACCTTTAAGACTTGCAGAACAAGACACCACTTTGTGGCTGTAACAACAAAATATTTGGCTCAGAATAGAAAGCTCTGAGTCTTCACATCACAATGGTAAATTTTCATGTCATATCTAAAACTATTATCATTTTTTCAAGAGTACAAAAGAGAAAACAAAAAAGTGATACAGAATTTCACTTAATAAAGTAATACGAATTTCACAATATTTGTTGTAATACATAGTGTTGTTTTCCAATAGTTATTCATATTACCAGATATATTCATGTCAAAATGGAAAAAAAAGAAATGTAAAGAAATTGAAAAGAGAAAAACTACAATTTGAAAAAGAGAAAACACATTAAGCATTAACTGCTCCTTCCTATAGAACAGCAGAAATGCACATTTGTCCAAGCCATCCTGCTTACATGCACATAAATCTCTTTCTCCCATTCTATCTCTAATTTGTGTGTGGTTTTTTTTTTTTCTCTGTTGGAGATTTGCTTTGAAATGTAGAAACTTTTCAAAAAGATGAGGTCCCAGTTGTTGATTCTTTGAATTTCCTGTGCAGTTTGGTTTTTGTTCATGAACTCTACTTCACCCTGTCTTTAAGGTTTCTACATACATTTTCCTCCAGAAGATTTAGTGCTTCTGTTTTAATATTTAAATCTCTGATACATTTTGACTTTGTACATAGTGATAGTTATGGGTCTAGTTTTAGCCTTTGGCACATGGAAGGCCAGTTTTTCCAGCAGCATTTCTTAAAAGAGGCTGTCTTTCTTCCAGTGAGCATGTTTAGCCCCTTTATGACAGATAAGATGGCTATATGTGTTTGTAGTTGTGTCTGCACCGTCTAATCTGTTCCATTGATCTTCAGGTCTGTCTCTATGCCAGTACCATGCTGACTTTATCACAGTAGCATTAGAATATAATTTCAATTCAGGGACTGTGATACCTCCTGTCTTTCCTTTGTTTCCAAGGATTGCTTTTGATATTCTGGGTCTCTTCTGGTTCCAAATGAATTTGAGGAAATTCTTCTCTAGCTCTCTGAGGTATAGTAATGGTATTTTAATTGAGATTGCATTCAATCTGTATAATAATGTTGGGAGCATGGCTATTTTCACAATCTTGGTTCTTCCTATCCAGGAGCATGGAATATTTTTCCATTTTCTCAAATCCTCTTCCATCTCTTTTCTCAGAGCACCATAAATTTCGCTGTATAAATCTTTCATGTTCTTTGTGAGATTGATTCCTAAGTATTTCATTTTTTTTGGATGTTATTGTGAAAGGTGTGGTTTTCCTAATTTTTCTCTCAGTGTGTTCATTGTGTGTGTATAAAAATGCTACTGATTTTTGTGTGTTGACTTTGTATCCTGCTACATTGCTTAATTTGGTGATTAAATCTACAAGACTTTTGGTGCAGTTTTTTTGTGTCTTCTACATAGAGCATCATGTCATCTGCAAATAATTAAAATTTGACTTCTTTTCTAATCCTTATTCCTTTTCTTTCTCTCTCTTATCTAATTGCTCTGGCTAATGTTTCCAGAACAATACTGAATAGGATTGGACACAGTGCAAATACTTATCTTGTTCCTGAGTTTAAAGTGAAGACCTTTAGTTTTTTGACCATTTAGTATGATGTTGGCTGTTGGTTTCTCATAGATGGCTTTCATCAGGTTGAGATATTGACCATCTGCTCTGATTCTCTGTAGGGTTTTTATTAGGAATGAGTGTTGGGCTTTGTCAAAAGCTCTTTTTGCATCTATTGAGATGATCATATAGTTTTTGTTCTTGGTTCTACATATTCGTTAGAGAGATTGGCCTGTAGTTCTTTATAGTTGGCTCTTTCTCTGGTTTTGGAATCAGAATAATACTTGACTGCATGAATGAGTTTGGCAGAATTGCCTCCCTTTCAATTTCACTGAAGAGACTCAGAAAAAAGATGGCCTGAAATCTCTAAATTTCTTGCAGAATTCTGCCATGAATCCATGGGACATGGTTTTTTTTTTTTTTTTTATTACATTTCCAAATTTTGTTTTTCATTATTGGGTTATTCAGAGTTTGTATATCTTCTTGACTAAGGTTTGGTATTTCATATGTATCTAGGAAACTATCCATTTCCTCTGTACTTTCCATCCTGTGAGAGTAAAGATTTCGGAAGTAGGTGTTCATGATCCTATGAGTTTCTCTAGGTTTGTAGTGATTTCATGGTTTTTATGTTTATTGCATGAATCTGGGTAACTTCCTTTTTAAAATTATGTTGGCTAGGGGTTTATCAATTTTATTTATTCTTTCAAAGAACCAATTCTTTGATTCATTTATTCTTTGTATTGTTTTCTTCATCCCCAGTGTATTAACCTCTGCTCTAATCTTCATTAATTTCTTGCCTTCTTTGGGCTTTGGGCTTAACTTGCTCTTCTTTTTCTAGGAGCCTGAGGTGCAGCATAAGATCATTTATTTGGGCTTGTTCTGTTTTCCTAATGTGAGAATTTACTGCTATAAATTTTCCTCTTAAGACAGGTTTCATTCATCCCACAGGTGTCAGTAAGTTGTATCCTGCATTTTTGTTTGATTGTAAATATTTTTAAATTTCTTCTTTAATTTCATTTGTGATTCACTGGTTATTTAGAAGGTTGTTATTTAATTTACATGTGTTTCTGTAGTTTCTTTTGTTAATAATTTCCAGTTTTATTGCACTGTGATCAGATAGTATGCATGGGATAATGTAAATTCCTTTGCATTTACTTAAGAGTGCTCTGTGTGCTTGTATGTGGTCTGTTTTAGAGATGTCCCATGTGCAGCTAGAAGAATGTGTATTCTGTTGTTTCTGGGTGAAACATTCTGTAAAGGTTTACCACGTCAATTTCTTTCCAAGTTTGGTTGAGTTCTACTATTTCTTTGCTGAATTTTTGCCTAGGTTATCTATCTCTTTGTGATAGTGGCATGTTAAAAGTCCATTACTACTGTGTTACTATTTCATTTCTCATGTCCACTAAAATTTGTCTTATGTAGGAGTTTGCTCCTACAGTGGGTGCATGTATTTAGAGTTGTTATCTCATGCAGTTTTCCCTTAACAAGTATGAAGTGACCTTCTTTATCTCTTTGGATGATAGTTTGCAGTTGATATTATCAGCAACCAGGATATCTGCTCCTGCTTTTTTCTGATTTCCTGTGGCATGGAGGATTGCATTCATCCTGTGACTCTTAATCTGTGAGTTTCCAATTGAGTTAAGTGTGTTTTTCATATGCAGCATATGGTTGGATTTTGTTTCTTAATCTACTCTGCTAGTCTATTTTTTTTTGAAATTTCGCTAAGTAGTCTAGGATGGAAATTTCACTTATGGCCTTAGAAAAGAGGGTCAGAGGGTTGTATATTACAAATATACAACAATTATAAATACAAGTTAGTTTCTTTCTAGTATAACATTAAAAAATCTTAAGTTTTCCTCACTTTTTATTTTTATGAATTTACTATTAGCTTACGATTATTACTATTTCTTTGTAAGTTGTGACATATTAAGTAATCTCAAAATACTCATATTAAGGACTGAAATGCCAGAGTTCAATCATCTTTTTTTTTTTTTTTTTAAGGGTCTATGTAGTTCAGGCTGGCCTTGAACTCACTATGTAGCTCATGCTGGTCTCCAACTCACAGTGACCTTCTTGACTCAGATTCTTGATTATAGGCATGAGCAACCAATCCATCTAAGCAGCTGTTATTTATCCTTTTTTTTTTTTCCGGAACTGGGAATTGAACTCAGACCCTTGCGCTTGCCAGGGAAGCAGCTGTTATTTATGTTAACTCTTGTTTTAGTATTAGAAATCAAATGGGGAAGGACTTGAAGGCACTATACCAAAAGGACATCATAACAAAATTTTTACACTTTGTTAGGGAAACAGAGAAGGAACTGCAACACCATCCCTCAAGGTTTATGCTAGGTATGAGAAAGTCCTGAATCCCCTGGGCTAAAAAGAAGACACATTTTCTCTTATTTCAGTGATTATGGCACTAAAAACCAATCTGCCCATGCTACATGTATTAGTATTCTTGGAGGACTAAATACTTAATTTCAGGTCAGAAGATACAGAAAAGAGCACAGTAATTCAAAGTAAACTACCATACATTTTTTGGGCAGTATGAGATGCACAAAGCTCTCAAATTATTATAATAAGGGAAGAAGGCAGATGTGGCAATTGAGGCCCAGGAACGCTTACTATCTTATCCAAATTTGCAGAACAAATTGGGGACTTTTCAATACTAGCATGTTTCTTCTATTCCACAGTGCTTCCCAAGCAGGACTTTAAAACAATACTGTCCTTAAGACTCATGTAGGGTGCTAATGAGAGTATCAGTCTAAGATTCCTCAGATTTTGAGGTTTTACATCAGTCTGTCTGGAGGAGGCTAAGAAATGTGCACTTGGAAATCACTACAGGACATTCTGCTAGACAGACTTTGGAGATGGTACTCCCGAGAGCAATACTTTAGGCAGTATGTTGTTACATAAAGTGGATTATCCTGGGGCTCAAAAGGGGCACATAAGGAATACTGACTAATTTCAAAAGAATGACTCTTGCTGGGGTTAAGGCCAGTTGAGAAAGCAGGATTCATGAATGACACAGACACATTAGTCATGCAAAAGGTATGTGTGGTAGTGCATGTTGGTATCTGGTGTGAATATCTGAGAATGGAAACCAAATACTGTACCTTGCAGAACCCAAAGCGTATTCTCTGCAAACTGACTTGAAGCACATACTCCTGGTCAGCATGCAATCTGATCCATCTGTTGTCATCTCGCTGGTCTGCAGGCTGTGTTGACACAGACAGTTCATTATGTCCCTCAACTAAATCATCCCATGAGCCTTTAACACTCAGGCCCACATTTATCACTGGCAAGCGAGATAAAAAATTCCATGTCTGAATAAAAATGAAAGGGAAATAAAGAAAAATTTTAGTTAATTAGTTAATGTGGAATGCAATGAACAACTAATAAATAATTGATTTTAGAAAATCAATCTTTTAATTCTGAGATTAATTCTGAGTCCAATGAAATCATAATAAAAAAGATTCTTGGCACTATTCTGTTGTACCAAAAGTAGCATTTTTCAATTCTACAGTACAAAATTACAACCAAGATACTGACACTAATACAAACTACAGTGTGCTTTTAATCTTCTTAAAGTTCTTTTAAACAACTACAGGAAAGATTTCTCTTTATCTAAACTTATAACCTCTTTATTGTAAATCCCTACTGATACTGAGTGACAACCAGTTATATCAATTTTATGGTGAATGAAATTAAAAATGTTTATGATTGAACTTGTCTGTTCTAGAGAAATACTGACTCTAACACTTACATGTCTCTTAAAGAGCATTACTGTAGTTAGGGTATATAAAGGCTATTTAAAGTATTTGTCATTTAACTAGGACTGGAAATCCCATTCAAACCAGCTATTCCCCTACTGGGAATTTTCCCGGAGGAACTGAAAATATCATATCATAGCGATATATGTGTTCCTATGTTTATAGCAGCACAATTTGTGATAGTCAAATCTTGGAAACAACCAAGATGCCCATCACCTGAGGAATGGATAAAAAACATGTGGTATTTTTACACAATGGAGTATTACTCAGCTATAAAGAATGATGAACTCAAAGCCTTCATATTTAAGTGGATGCCACTTGATATATTCATAAGTGAAATAAACTAGACCTACATGTATAAATATCATATAGTCTCCTAGCATAAGAACTCAAAAGAAGAAATACAAATAGGTATAACACAATTAAAAGGAAAGCAAGAACTTGAGGACTGGACAATGAGGAAAGGGCAAGGAGAAAAACTGGGAAACATGACAGGGGCAAAGGCCTACATTTGTACTCACAAGATAGGCAAGGCAGTGATCCTGAGAATCTTCAGCAGGTTTTCGAAACTAGCAGTTAATTGGTAGGATTCTCACCTTGACTAATTATATATGCTGATACCTGTGAACTAAGCAACTGCACTGAAGATAGCAATGTGTAATAGTAGGGTCATGCTTGGAGTGTCTGTTATTCTGGTCTTCTGAATATGTGTTGCTTGTCACGACATGCTGGTTGCTGCCGTGTTGTCTCTTGGGTAGATGTTTGTTTAAAAAGGAAAGGGGTGGTGAATGAAGGCAGGAGACAGGAAAAGGGGTGTTGTGAGACTGTCCTGCTACAATGCTGTATATGGTTAGGTTTCTACACTTCTGTGTAAAAATAAAAAAAAAATGTGTGATTTAATTATCAATGTCAGTATCATACACTGACAATGTATTATATAAACTTTTGTTCATATTTCAAACTCACTGTATTTATCCTGAAAGATCTATGTATCATAGAGAATACTGTAAGTCTAGGCTTCCTTCTAGATATAAACCCTATAAGGAGTATCAATTAAAATAACGTACTTTAAAAGAATAGAAATATTCTACCAATTTGATTCTTGCTGTTCGAGTGATCAGAATTTAAATACTAAGTACTCAATAATGTTGAATACATAAATTCTTAGATCAATGGAAAGAATGCAACATAATAAACGAGGTTCTTAGGTAACTGCTACTTTTTCCTAATATTTATAGTCACGTTGCACTATCACTATCAGTCAAGAAAATTTCTTAATAGACTGACTATTTAATCAGCTGTTAACCTCCAAAGGCAGTTTTTAAAAGGTATGCAGGTATTTTAATTTTGGTTTTCTTTTTATTCCATTTCCATCAAAGTAATATATATTTCCAGATAGACTTTGATTTCCCATTTGCTAAGACTTTATTGCTGCTGAGTATATGCAATTGAAATGAAGTAGCCCTTAGGAATTTAAAAACTGTAAATATAGTGCAATTTTTCCCATTCACTCCAATCCTGTACCATGTCTTATAAATCTTAAATTATGACTGTAACTAGATTTTTACATAGTCAAGCTAAAGAATGTACTTCAAGGACAAATGATGGTCTTTACTCTACTAGAACCAACAGCTAACTGAGTACAGAAATTGAACCACTTGATGTTCTAAGACTGGTCCATATGGAACTGTGTCAAGAGGATACTTAGATACATGATGTAGGTACAGCATGAAATTCCGTGAGACAATACAAGTAGTTTTACCATATAATGTAAATTTGATATGTTCTTTTACTTGTATCATGAAATTACTTATTAGTATATTGTTTTCTGCTAGCAATTCAATGGGATTTTTACCTTCTAAAGTTTCCAAAAGTCCTTTCTAGATATGTGTTTTAAAATAAATAATTGGAGATACACACACACACACACACACACACATAATCTTTTTGTTGCATTTAATATTATTGTAAACCTACAGTGTGTACACATATAATTATTGGGTATATGTATTTATGTATAGACAACATGAGCTATTTTTAAAGAAACTGCTAAGATATTTCAATACCAGCCAAACATATTTATCTGAGGATTAATCTTCATCTATTGAATCAGGCAAGAGCACTGCCATGCATACAATTATTTAATTAGCAGCCAAATCCTCTGCCAGTCAGCAGCCGTTCCAGGCATACTGATGGGGTAGAAGATGCAAATCTCACAGTCGTACTGCTTTTTCTCATTACTACTGCAATTAGCACTTAAATTGATGCTTTAAACATACTAATTTCTGGAATAATTCAGGATTTGTATGTTACCTGGGATCGCCTCACTGCAGAGCTGACACCAGATTGCTCTGCAAATTGAAGCACTTTTGAGCCAAATAACCATCATCATATCAGACAGAGCCAATTTGCATTTGGTTTTAAAGATAACAGAATGGCAATTTATGCAAATAAATTAAGTAAGTTTACTTCTGAGTTCTCCCTGAACTAATTATAACAATGTTCTAATTTTTCATATATAAAACTTGGCTTGAAATCTATATATGTTATATTAGAAATCTGTTGTTGATAACAGAAGGCTTGCTTTGATTTAAACCTACTATTTTTATTCATAATTTTAATGAGAATTGAGGTAGAAATGTAGAAATTATTATGAATATTTAAAATTTGTGCCAATTTTGGATTCAACAGAAACTGAACAATCAGACATTAATGCCTGACATACTTTTTCTAAGTCTTGCTCAAAAAATGGCATAGTTTAGGATTTTCATTAATACCTGCATAGACCAATCAATATATTATACTACATATCTTGACCATGGTACCTTTCACAACACAGAATTAACTCTATTAGTTGCATGGCTTTTGAATAAACAGTTTATCTAAATAAACACATTAGAATTTAGAACAATGAAGTAACTAACAGGAAGGCACAAACAAGCATTTACGCCCAAGTGTAAAGAGTATCATTGTAAAGAGTATCATGAAGAAAGGAGTAGAGGCCCCTAGGTTAGGCAGCCTAGTGAGATAAGCCAACTTGTTTTTATTATACTGAAATAATTTCTAAAGATGCCAATACTACTATTTATACTATCTGCTGTTATTTTTAGTATCATATATTGAGTTTTTATTCTATGTCAAGAAAATATAAAAAATTTAAACAACACTTATTTTGTTTAACTTTCACAAGGACTTTATAGACAGACAAAATGCTTTTAAATTCAGAGATACGGTTAGAAAATAGCAGAAGACAATTTAGACTCAGGTGAGCTTGACTTCAGAATCCCATGCCTAAAGTTGGGAAACTCTTGATACAATTTTCTAAGAGACTAAGGAAGTTCTCAACACATGCAAAAGATGGCTTACCTGCTTTGTTTTTGCAGCCTGGAGCTCCTTCTCCACGATAGAGCTGAATACATGGTCTTTCCCTCCACAGGCCTGGATCAGCTCAGGAAGGCACTCAATGGAGGTTCTGCACCTAGCCTGTGGGCCCTTTACAACTGGCTTCCATTTCCTAAGAAATAATACCAATACAACAAAATAATTCCTCCACTTTGCAACTGAGATTTTACGACAACAGTGGTTTGTACAATTTAAACACTTAAAACAATTAAGCTATAACTTTTTATAGGCAGTTATATTAAACTTTCAGTATTAGGTAGTATCCTTGAAGTATCAACCAAATACAGTATCACTAGTGCTACAAAAAAAATCTGGGGCCGGGGAGATGGCTTCAATTCCTGGTTCTGGAAAAAAAAAACAAAAAAGAAAAAAAACCACCATGAATTATAGATAGTGTGTCAGCTCCAAAAATAACTCAGGTTTACACACAGTGGGGGGGGGGTCTCTACAGAATGGCATTCATGTGAATGATTCTTCTATGTGAATGAAGTACAGACACAGAGCCCTAACATGTTTTTAATTATGTAGGCAGATATCTTTAATAAAACTATTGGAATAAAGTTATTGGCAACATAAAATTTAGAAGTATGCTTTGAGAATCTTTCAGATATATAGCATGCTATATTTGATCTCAGGAAAAAAGCCCACCTAAATTCTAAGAATAAGAAGAAGACATAGCTGAAGTTATCATTTGCCACTTTTAAAGGTGACAAGAAAGGAGAATTGAATTGCCTAGCCCGAAGTAGCTTCCAAAACAGACTTGTATGCTATGTGGTGTGGTATATTCATGTGCCTTCTTTACTGCTGAAACCCAACTCCCATAACATTTAGTACCACTCTGGAAGGGCTCCTGAAACAGCTGCAGACACACATGAGGCATTTGCCTTCTTCACATGCCACCTGTTGCTGGTATGACCCACTCTCCGAATGTGTGTTTATTCCCAGGGTCATCTCATGCTACAGCTTCAAGTATCGTGGAGATAACTGCCCTGAGCCCAATAGACTTGAATCAAATGAAGGACCTTGCTGAGGAGGGCGTGTGTGCCTGAGGCTCTTGTTGGCATCTGTAGCTACAGGCCTCAAATGATGGCCACCCTTGGTTGAGCTGACAAGAGCCACGTGGTACATAATGTCAAGTGGCAACCAGAATGCTTTCTTATCTTCAAGACTGTGTATGAACATACTCACTGCAAAGTATCTCTCAGTTGGTGTGAAATACTTGAATAAAATATTTTCGGTTAAACACTGCCAACCCTACTTGTAGCATGTGCTATCCTTTCCCTTAGTAAAATATTTGGAGCCACGTACATGAAATTAAGAGTTAAATACTTCGATGCTAGCTCAAACTATTCTTTTATACATAGGTCATATTTGGAGCTTCTACCATATACAAATACCTAGTTTTAGATACTGTATAGATGTACAATTCACTTTCAACAATGGATTTCCGGTCTCTCCACAGAAACAGAAACTAATGATTTACTTTACTTTAGGTTGCAAATTACTTCTTAAATGAAGAATGATACTGTAAAGGAATACATGCAATTAGAATAAAAGTATAACAAACCAAAACAAAGCCAGATGTTCTATAATCTTAGTATTCAGGAAGCTAAAAGAAGATCACCGTAAGTTTGAGGCCAGTTTCAAAAAGAAGAGGAAAGAAGGGAAGAAAAGAGAAGAAAAGAGAAGAGAGGAGAAGAAAGTTTTTAGTGCTACAATTGGAAATCAATGTAGATAGAAGGTAAAAATGACGTATGATTCAGCTTAGGACTGATGATCAAACTCTCAGTGGGAATGTTATGACACTACCATGTCTCTCTCTGGGAAATGGGCATTTACACTATAAAAATGTCATGAGCTATATACACTTAAATATGTTTTGGAGGGAAGTTGTGGTATACCTGAGTGCTGGAGCAGGGCCTAGCAGGCACGAGACTATGAGTGTAATGCCCAGGACCACTGTGCCCCATCTGCTTAAAAAAAAAAAAAGATTTTTTTTGAAATTGAAAAAAATACACTGAAAATTAATTACCTGAAAAGGTGAAGATGGTGCTGCTCTATGTTTGGTAGTGTAAGAAGAGAGGAATCTTTTAGCCACCGGCCCTGCACTACCATCTGAACCAGGTTGGTTATATTCAGGGCAGTCACCAGCCAGCCCTGATTTGCAGCCACGTCCAGCATTGCCTGAAATGAAGAGCAAGAGAGAGTGTACACATCACAAGAATCACAGCACTTTTCCTCTGCATCTCTGCACTGGAAAAACCAAGCATCATATCTTGAAATCACTATTTATCAGAATAAAACCAGAAAATTACAGTGGCAGGAGGGAAACAAAGTGACTCTCTCATGGCGTTTATTATACTATACATCGCTTCTTACAAAGGACCAGATACTAAGCTTTTTTAGGGCAGCAAAGATAGCTAGATAAAACCATTAACCAGCAAGAGAAAAGCTCAGTGTACTTTGAGAGCAAATACCTATATAATTCACTGAATCAAGAGTATTAGCGGCTGCATTTAGAAAGTATACCTCATGTACTCTTGCAATTTAAAATTGATAATAGTAAAGAAATAGGTTTTCTTGCCAAAAATTTATTTTCCCAAAGAGCAGGCTAATGAAGAAGCAGTGGTTCTCATTGACAATAACATACCACATGGTAGTGAAGGGGCAACTGCCAGGCGTACATGTGGAATGAGGAGCAGCTATTCATATTAGTCTATACGTTTAATCTAATGTTCTATGAACAAACAAAAGGCTGCATTTGCTTAAGGCAAAACTAAACAGTGAAATCTTATTTAAACAAAGGAGTAGTTTACACAGGCAAAGCTATTTCAATTAAATTAGATTCTGGAAAATGCTGACTTACAGACACATAGTTAATATCATGATCTTAGGCAGAGGTTTTTTTAGACAGTTTTAGGACTGTATGCCCTTATTTTGGAATATACCTAGCAAATGATTTCACACAGCAACACTGTAATAAAAAACATGCACTTTCAGTAAAACAGTTATAAATTCTTGTACAAAACTGATTTGATTTTAGAAATGACTTTGGTCTATGCTAGTTAAACTGATTTGTCATAATTCTTAGTACCACTGATGCAGGCACATGTTCCTTGTAAGGTCTAGATTTCTAGTTTTGTGTTCTCTAGCTTACAAAACATAAAAAAGTTTTAAAAGAACATCTGGCCAAATGGATCTATGATTTCTTTATGTACATTACAAGAAAATGAATTAAAGTTTTTGGAAACTATGATTAATATGATAGAATGGTCAAAATGGTTTTTAGCACCCATTTTTTTTTCTGGCCACATATCTCTACCTATAAACCTGAATGTCAGTATACTTATGTATGTACGTAAATATGTACATAGCATGTATGTTAATATTCATATGTATATGGCATATGCATGTATATACATATATGAATGTACATGTTTAATAAATCTAGGGAAAAACACATAACTTTCCTTTTACTCCCAAAGCAGAATATTATGCTTTTCTTTGGAGTCTGTGAAATAAATAGGTTATAGTGAATGATGCTCCTAGACAAAACAAAAAAAGTAGTTCACAACTCATAACTCTTGCGTTTTGTTTAGGGAAAGGGACAAGAGGAATGAGTAATTATAACTCAGGCTGTTCTATGATGATGTTAGAATGAAGAGTAACTATGGCAATTTTACTGGTGATTTTACACTACCACTTGACTGGAAATAACTTCCAGACCAAAGCTCACATACTGGAAGAGTTGGATGGATGAACCATATGTTTTTAACTTTGAAGTTTCCATGAAAAAGTTGAAAGATTTTTATAAAATTTATGAGTTCCCCACAACTTTTCATTGTATGATCCAGATATGAAAATGTAAAAAAAGAAAAAAATCATGTGTAGTGCTTTTCATGAGGCAAATGAAAAACCTTACCATGAATTGAAAACTGTTCTTTATCTCAGTTTGATTCTATGAAAAAGTAAGTGAGCAGATGCATAGCTTGGTATGGCAAAAAGACTGTGACCGCCCACATGTGGCGAAGCACATCTTGGCACGTAGTTCTTGGCTTAGCCACTCCCTCATGCTTCTATCCTCTCTTCTCTTTTCTACTTCTCCTAGAGTAGACCTCCACTTTTTTTTCTCACCTGGAATATTGTAAATATTACTTTATCCTTATTTTCATCTAACTTTTCTTTAATCAATACTTTTTAAAACAGGGTCTTATTACATAATCCAAGCTGGCCTAGAACTCACTACATAACTCAGGCAGGACTCAGACTTAGGGTGGTCCTTTTACCTCAGCTGTCCAAGTGCTGGGACTATAGGTATGTGCTGTCACATCTGGCCTACCAACTAAATTATTTAAAGGTAAAATTGATTATGTCTTTCCTTTGCTTAAATTTTTTTCGATGGTGTTAAACAAAAACTAATGCTTCTCTACATGGCAGTCAGCACCCTATAATCTATCTGGTCTTTTTTATTTTTGACACCTTCCCCTCTGCACTGTGCAGCTGTATAAGATTACTAGTATTTCCTCAAATTTACCCTCATTTTAAATTTAAAAAATACTGTTCTTTCTGCTTTGTCCACCTGGGAAGTTCCCATTCATCACCCACACAACTGAGGGAGTAAACCATGGCACTCCCCTGACTCTCCCAGGCAGGTGAGCCCTTTCCCTTCCAGCCCCTCTGCTCTTGTAGTGCCCCATCACCATCCAACTGGAATTCTCTGCTCACACATCTTCCCTTTGGGCTACAAGCTCCATGATCACAAGAATCTGGGCTTATTCTTTGTAACTCCACCTCTAACAAAGTACATTAAAAATATTTGTATTAAATAATACAGGTAAAAATCTACTGTGATCACAATATTCTAAGCCACTGCACATCTACAAAACACATTATAGAACAGAAGATAAAACATAAGCCTTGATATGAGACAGTATAGTTTTGTATGCTAATTTTCTTTTTACAACATATAAATGTGAGGAAATTACCCTTCTGAACCCAAGTTTCTCATTTTCGGAAAGGCCTATCTCCTAGCAATTCTTTGAGGATAAAGACCTATCTTTTATAGTTTTCCCTGGCAAATATGGACCAATATATGCTCTTCCTTAGAGGCTGGCTTTGGTAACACCTGGATTATATGGCTGAGCCTCTCAAGTCACTTCAAAGTCCTTTATTTGTGAGGTACCAACATATTGCCTGCTACACAGTGATCCTAATAGACGTCTGTTTTAAAGTTCTTCTATGATAAGATAAAAAGAACACCCTAAAACAGTCCATGATTTGTAAGTCAGGTTTCCTTTGATCATTTTGATGTCAATTTCTAACCTGGGCAGTCATAGAGGCACAACGCCTGCTAGGTTGGGGGCAGATGCATGGGACAGGCAGAGTGGTTTATCAGGAGAGGTGTGGTTCACAAGAAATCCAGGAGAAAAGGCCAAAGACAGATCCTGCAGCTCAAGCCAAACTGGAGGATGTGGGTCTGATTCTCAGTTTAAGTGCATGAACCCTAGTTGCTGTTCAGGGTCGTAACTGCCAGGGTTGAGGATAGGGATGGTCTACGTTACTGGTCTGAGAAGCCTCACAGCAGATACCAGTGCACCTGTGTATGGCTACATGTAGGGAGGACTCTCTGGATTTCACTACTTTTTATAGTATTTTCCTGGCCAATAAGGACACTAGACATGCTTTCTCAGATCCTGGCTTTGGCATCAGCTGGGTGATGGTTAAGCCTCCCAGCTCACCTCAGAATCTGATAGAAATATCTGATACTCAACAACAAAAGGTTGCTTTAAATATGGAGAAGAAACAACTCTGGCATTCTTTAGAAGCTCAGCATAGCACTGACGTTAAGCAAGTATTTAATCTACTTTACCTCTTACCCACTTTTCCTTGGCACACTACAATCAGACAATTCTCTGATAATTTTTAGTATAGCAGAAATGTGGACAGTGGTTGACTCTGCATGAGACTTTCTTCTACCAAGGGGAATCAACTTCAGTGGATTGCTGATTCAGAATTCTTTATTACTCCAGCCATGACCGAGTGAAAATGTGATTTTTAGTACTGTATTCATTTACAAAAATAACACTAAACTAAAACCTTATCAGAATTAACAGGAACAGGGGTCTGCCCCTGAGCTCAGTTCTTTAAGTGGCTGCTTCAACAAAGCAGTCGGGCTCAGGGCTCAGGTTGCTGTGGTTCGATCCCCAAAACTCAAGTCAGCCAAACCTGCCCTGAAGGCATTCGAAAAAAAAAAAAAAAAAAAAAAAGAATTAACAGGAACAGTATGGCAGTCTATCATTTAAACAAAGATGGGTTGGAAAGATGACGAATTTGGGTTTGAATATATTTAACTGAGGTGCTATGAGCCAGGCAAGAAGTTCTAGGTGACAACTAGCTCTAGATAGAAAGTAGAATAGCAGTGTGTAGTCTGAAATCCTGGAAATAAAGTGGACAGCCAAGAATCACAGTGAACAGCTATGTAGTAGAAAGGAGTTACCAGGAGAGAGGTCTGGGAAGGCAGGAAAGGATAATGGAGGAGGGGGACCAAAGGACTCTCGTGGGCACTGACAAAATAATCAGGATGAGAATGGATGACTGTCTACTATTTGTCAACTCAGGTGAACATTTTATTTAAGATACTGAATATAAGTTTATTCTACAGATAAAGCTAGCACGGCCCCAAGAGCAAAAGAGGCCGATCTAAGCATGCGTAGCTCTGGTAAATGGGCACATTCAAGTTCTGTAGATCCTGACCACACAAGACTTGCTTTAACCAGCATAGTACAAAGCCTGGGAAGTGCAGGATAAGGGGAAGGTGTACAGATTTTGAAAGAGGTTGTCAGTTTGATTACCTATGTTAAGAGGAGTGGGCATTCTAGATGGTAACATCTGCCAGCTTCTTTGTGGGGTTGGTTCAGAAGACTGTGCAAGGGTGCACCAAAATCCATAAATAATTACATTTCTTTATTTAAAATGACATAATGTTTTGGGTATAACTTGTGTATCACCTACAGTATACTTTAAATAATCTTTACTTATATGATACAAACATTATGTAAACAGTTGTGATACTATATTATTTAGGAAATAATGAGAAAAAGAGCCAGTTTTTCCCCCTAATATTTTCAATCTATGGTTGATTAAATCCACACAATGTGGAACTATTAAATATTGAGGTTTGACTT